CAAAGCGTTTCTTTTCAGTGAGCGACCTGTCGGCGTGCGCGGTTACTTAATCACTGAACGATTGTTAATTGGAAATCGCTCCAACCGCTCCAACGACACCACGCACCTTCGCCAGAGTCCTGGACGATCGAGATCCGGAATCGCCGGAATGTCGACTTGATCTCCAAAGACTCTAGACTTTATCTTGTACCATCGGTTCATGCTAATGCGCTTTCAATTAGAGCGCCCTGCCCACGTAAATTGACATGCTTTTAATTAGATCGCCTTGCCCCTTCGTGGATATTTCTCTACCACATATCAATCTATCTTTACAAGCTGTAGGAATTTGCTCACACAGCACGTAATAAATTACACGAAAAGAATATTATAGCTTGTTTCCATATAAATTATTTTTCATTTTATTCCTCTAATAGTGCAGGAATAGGCTGTCAGTAAGATCTATCTTGCTAACGAACATAGTAAACTTTTCTAGTATCACCATTCCAGTTTCTAAAATGTCAGTAGCAAAATTTACATACGAAATGTAAGAATACACCCAAAAAGAAAAACTGTAGATGACATTTTCTATAATCTCATAGCTCCCTAAAGTAATCTCTAGAGCGAGAACTTTTACCGGAAAAGTATTGCTCTTTTAATTTTTACGATAAAATTCTTTTTACGTATATATTTTTAACTTTTGCTGTAAATACTGCGAAAGGAGAAGCAATTCCCATGCATCGACATAACACTCGATACACAGCTACTGTTCTCGAGCTAAGGCCCGGGGATGGCTTCGAGCTTTCGTTTCATCGGTGGAGAAGCATGCCACGATGAGACGATATGCGTGCGCCTACGCCGTCGCGTTTTTTTCACGTTGGATCGCACGACGTGCAAACAACTCGAAATTCCCATTAGCGGCCGATGCTCGTAGTCACCTTCGGCGCATACCGCCGAGAGAAGCGTTCGAAGGTAGATTGTACCCGGACGAGAAGAACACGGTGCGCCAAGAGTGGCGAGTGTGTACGATCGCTGAAGATTACTTTTCCGAGGGCAACAAAAATTTCGGCGCAACGACTTGACATTCTAAGAATCAATCCAGCAGTACTGCTATGACTGCTAACGTACTAACGCTTTTAACATCTTCAAATATTTTCAATGTTTTTAGGCAAACTATTCCGAGTCGAAATTTTGGCTCTACGTTAACCCTACAAGTTCCATCGTTCAATGGTCCTTCAAATTGGACGGGATTTGTTGGGTTCGTGTAGAATCAAAATTTTTACTGGAGATATAGAGAATGCTTTTCAATCACAAACTGTTGATACACCGACTTCAATGATCTAAGCTTCTGAAATTAGATGGTGATAAAATTTTAATATTTGTATAAGTCCAAGATTTTATATATACATGGATAAAATTTTATATATAGTAAAAATTACTATAAAATATTTATAATAAATATTTTATAGAGAGAGAGAATATATATATATATATATATAATTAAAATATAGAATTTTATAGCTGAAACAGATAGATCAACATTCTGCAGTAGCTAACCATTCCTTTCATATGCACTACTTATATATTTTAGAAAATGAATCGTGCTGTTAAGGGGTTTGCTGTTTTCTTAGAAAACGTTGCTGTTTCTAGTGAAAGTTACTGTGTTCTTTACGCTGAAAAAAATGTTTGGTATTTGTGTAACTACAGTCACATATAGAAATAATTACTATAAATTATGATTTAAAAAAACACTTTTTTAATTTCTATTATAATGTTAGCCATAATAACCTTATATGCATGTTACCACTTTCGTGTTAGAACAATCAAAAAATATGGTTGGGGCCGAAAATAATTATAATTTTAGTTTAGATCAACCATCCTATATCTCAATGTAGCAAGATGTCTTACCGACATTGCTACATTATTAAACACAGTAAAATTTTGAAAGGAATTTATATAAAGAAAAAACCATAATATTCTCTTCATGTGAAGATGCCAGTTATCTAAAACTGAAGCACAAGATTGTGCACTTCGAGCTAACATGATGATGGAACTCGTGGCAGAATTTATATACCGTCAGAACACGATTAATGTGTTATATTCATACTCGTGTGAACTTCCTTTTCAAAGATAGGTCCTTTCGAGATCTCAATGATTATTGTGGCACTATTGCCGAAGTATATAGAAGTTAATGCGATGTCACGGTGTCATTAGGTGTAGGCTTTGATAAAAGCCGCGGAAATGACGGTATGCATTCGCTTAAGTGCAGCGTAATTTCCTACGCATCGACTCGTCTCGTTTACTCAAGTGACAAATGGACGGCGCTCGCAAGCACTTTCGAAGTCTATTATTCGGGATATGATCCTGCATCCATCGCAAAGTGTAGTGTTCATTTATCCCTTTATTAACCCTACACGATGATTATCGAGCGAATCGATCTGTCAGTTAACGAAAACTATCGTTAATCTTCTTACGTAGTTCGGCGGTCAAGAGAAGTCGTAGAATGATCATACGTATTTCGCAAAATTTCTTTATCGCGTAACTCTGGAGATGTTTCTGATTTGACTTGTGAACAATTACTTTCAATACTTATTGAGCAAAAATATTTTAGTGCCATTCTTGAATGTGCTCAAAAGATGTCTCGTAATTATCCAGTTAAATTTTAACCAAGAATGTAGGCTCTTCTTTAAACTTTTATAACCTACAATCCAATAACCAAAATATCGAGTCATTAATATATTTCACTGCACAAGGTAAATAAATGTCTCAGTAATTCAACATGTCCTAATGTGATTGAAATATTAATAATGTATTTGCATTTAATATTACTGAAAAGAGAGAGAAATTTGAAATTTTGTTAAAAGGTATTTCTTTGTATGCCAATTTGTAATATTATTTAATGAGCATGCAATCATTGAGCCTATATTATTCGATAATTAGGACTCATTTTTCAGTTCAATTATTTAATTCAACAGTCGACATTATTTAATATTTCATTGAAATTATAACTAATATTTATTACTTTATTTCTTATTATTTTCCGATTGCTAACAAATCAAAGTCGGTAATTCAATGTGGTTTTGTCAATAACTCAATCAATGATTTATTGAACATAAAACTGATCGTACTTCCTTACTGGTTCAATCATTAGGACATTTACCTCAAGTAATTTTTCTCCAGAAATAACGTTTTCAAGTTTGCAAAGAAAATTCGTCCCTTATTAAAAGAAAGATCCGGGACTTCTCGCGGATAAATAACGTGACCGCCAAACAATAGGTCTGTTCTTTTAAGCTGAACTAGTGTAATAATGCACTAGAACTTTGTTGCACTAGAACTGATGCAATAAGTTAGAATAAAACAAAATGTCTCGCTCTAACTTATTGCACCAGTGTGCAATAATGCACCAATTCAAACAGCTCAGCTAAAAAGAACAGACCTAATGTAACAAAGCGTTACAAGATGCAGCAGGATATCATGAGGATTTCTAGTTTCGCACGTGCCTGCGTGAAGAACACGAAAGGCGCTGAAATTCGAAAAACAATGGCCGTGTGTTCCGAACCAACGCGGATAAAAACGACGGAAATGACACTCCGAACATTCATCTCAAACCACTCACAGCGGGCTCTTAATTTCTCTCAAAAAGCCAATTATCCGCGTTTCCGGTCGTATCAGCCGTCGCGCTCTCTCGGTGACTAATGGATCGTCATTACAGCGGCACTCAATGTCTCTATTATTCCCAACTGTACATCCATCTCCGTGCGAAACCTAGCAGCTCGCGCCTCGCCGCTACGTACTTTCGCGCTAATCTTCGCGCGGGCCAATGAGTCGCTTTTTATGCGGACAGCGATTTATAATCGCGGCTTACGTTCGCGCCGGCTGTGTCTCAGAATTTGACTAATAGCACTCTTGACCCGCAGAGATACGCGTGTACTTGTTGTTCTTCGGTGTGATCACGCGGCGGCAGAAGCCAGAGAAATCGTATATTGTTTTTTGATGAAATAATCAATAACAGATTTTCTCATGAGAAAACATCACACGCTCTTGTGCGCGATATTTTTTTCTTTTCTTCGTGCGCACGTACGACCATCAGCCTGATACATCTCGCACCATAACAGATGTTCGTATAATCCGTTTAGAGCTACAAGTGTACGCAATGAGGATCCTAAAACTTGATCTATATGTTCTTTGCTTCTTGTTTCTTATTCTCTGTCCCGGCTTAAAGCCTGATCTACAATTTGCTCTTTGTTTCCTGCTTCTTTCTCTTTATCTCTTTCTAACTCAAACCTTAAGCTTTAAGCCAGAAAAAGATAGAAGACAAGAAATAGAACGCAAAGAGTATATTGTAGATCAGACTTAAAGCTTGATCTACAATTTATGTTATTTGCTACCTGTTTCTTTTTCTTTATCTCTTTCTGACTCAAACTTCAAACTAAAAAAAGACAGAAAACAAAAAACACGAAACAAAGAGCACTTAGGGGCTAAAGCCTAATCTCTATCTTTTTTTAGTTTAAGGTTTAAAGTTTGAGTCAGAAAGAAATAAAGAAAAAGAAACAGGAAACAAATAATACATTATAACATTCCAGCTTTAGAGCATAATGTGTTCTTTAGCTTGAATGAATGTGTTCTTTGCTTTTTGTTTTCTGCCCTTTATCTTTTGCATCTTTACTTTTTGATATACTGTTTTAAACTTGATCTACAATGTGCTCTTTGCTTTCTGTTTCTTTATTTTCTTCTGATTTAAACCTTAAGCTTTTAGTTAGAAAATAAAGAATGAAAAACAGGAAGCAAAGGGCACATTGTAAATTAAGCTTAAGGTTTAAGATTTGAGTGACATTATAGATGAAACTTTAAGCCAGAACAGACAAGAAACAGGTAACAAAAATTAAGCTTAAGGATTCGCCTGACTTCGTTCTCGGAGACGAAACGTCGGGACGATCGTCTGGACTGCAGAAACAAAGACTCGAGAAAGAAGAAAGAAATCGAGAGAGACGCGTTTAACACACTCGCGCAACGAGAGATAGTACCTTCTTCCGGCGTAGCAGCTTCCAATCGAAATGACTCATCCTGTCCGGCTCGTTAGCCTCTCCTCTTATCCTCGTCTCCTCCTCCGTCCGAAACCGTTCCTTACGTCCTTTCTAACCGTCGCAGCAGGACGAGAGCGAGTTCGTGACACCCTCCCGGTCGATTTATTCCCACGGCGTGTGCATTCGCGACGCGACTAGCTCTCGCTCATGCGTTTCAGCGGAGCTTACGACGGCGGCGGCGACGACGACGAGGAGGACGACACGATGAAGACGAGGATGACGACGAGGATGACGACGTGGACGAAGGGCAAAACGAGACGGCTCTCGGCGTCCCGGCATTGCCAACGGAACGACCGCTCTGAGATGCTCATTGTTCTCGGGCCGCGCGCCTGAGGATACGTGTCCTTGGCGTGGACAGCGGCATCCGCCCACCTTCGAACGCATGCACCGGGATACCTCGAAACCGACCGAGCGCGGGAATCCGCTCGCGGAGGAGAACGTCAAGGTCCTGAGAGCGGGGTTTCACGTTCGAGAGACGCTCCTGACAGACGGACGGACGGTTCCACGTCCGTGAGGAGGAGCACGGCCAAGTTCGTAGCCGGGGTCGCCCCGGGGAGAGACCTCCGCCCTTCTTTCACGGGGAATCGCGAAACGCAATCGCGAAGGTCTCTCGCGAGAAAGAGAGACAGGGAGAGAGATCCTTTTCGTCTCGTTGAGGAAAAAAAAAAGAAAAGGAAGAGGGAAAAAGGTCGCGTCGATCGCGAGTGCCGGTGCAGGACGCGTGGGGCCAGTCGCCGGTGTCAGCACGGCCGTCGTCCCGTCGAACGGCACCTTCACGTAGGATACACGACGCACACGCGTACACGAACGAGACCTGGTGAGACCATCGCGCGAGCGCGCCGCGAGATTACTTTGTAATTTTCAGGAAGATTTACACGGCACTTCGGGACGCCCGCGTCGGCGGCGGCGACGGCGATCCGGCGACGCCGAGAGGGCCGGCGGCCCCACCTCGCCGAGGAGGTATTCATGTCGGGTCCGTCCGGCGGCCTGCTCTCCGTGAAATCCGCATAGCCAGCTAACGCAAAACCACCTTACCGCCGTGCCGAGCGCAAGTCATTCAAACACTTCACTTCTCGCAGCGACTAAAGCCGCCCACTTGGCTCAAAAACGAGTCTCGGCGTCTCGCTCGCCCGAGACGTCGCGAAGACGCGGACCCGCCGCGCTGCCATTTCTCCCAGCCACCCCGAGAGAAAAAGAGAGAGAAAGAGGGAGAAAGAAGGGAAGAGAATAAGAGAAAGAGAGATCGCGTAGTAGCGAAAAATCCTGTCTTCTTGGTGAATCGCGCAAATTCCTCCGTTCTTCCGAGAGATGGGGATGATGCTCGGAATGATCGTCGGCGGAATCGAGAAGCGCGTCGACTTATCCAACTGCGTAGTCTTGCCGGCTCGTTTGCTCCAACCCCCAACCCTGCCCAGCCGGAGGAGCACTCAGCACGCGCACAAACACTCGCTCAACTCTATCGACTGACCCGGTTTTGCGAGCGGCGCTGTTCAACAACGTCGCAACGTGCCCGACGCGGATGCCGTCGCGGGTACCGTGCAGTGATCCCGAGAGCCGTGCATGAGCTTGCGAGGGCGGACGTCGCCGGCGACGAGGGTAGACGCATCTCGACGCGGAGGATGCAGGGCGGCGTACTGTCAAAATATCCGTCAGGCGATTCCGCAGAGCGGACGAGGACGCGCCGGGGTACACGGGCATGCGTGATGATGCTTCCCTCTCGACGCGCTCATCGTCGTCGTCGTCGTCGTTGTCGTCGTCGTCGCCAGCGTCGACACGAGAATAATCGAACTCCCCTCGGCGTCGACGGCTCTCGCGCGGCGGAGGCAGGCGGCCTGAATGAGAATAACGGCACGGCGTATATACACCGATCAGGCCGGACGAAGGCATTACACTCTCGTTTCTCTCGCACGGATGAATGACCGCCATAAAAATGGCGGACCACGGATGGATCGGTCCAGCGCACTGATACAGTTAGCGCTGCCTAGGGCGAGCGCAAGGAGTGTAAGAATAAAAAGCGCACGGATCAAATTGTGTCTGCACACGTGACTGCAAGAAGTCACTTTTTACCATGTTGAATTCACTCTCGCGTTGATATAGTGGGATAATAGCGCTGAGATTAGGTGGGATCGCTAATTGATTTGCCCATGCGCAGAGAGTATACAACGCGATAAACTCTCGGATATGATGACCATACGGAAAAAATAGCCATAGGCTTTAATTTCTCCAATAATTGCTAAAATAGTACGCCTTTTTACAGTGAGCGAAATTACCCGATAAAAAATTAACAAACGAATATTTCCGATCAAAATACCAACGAATTTTTATATACGATTAAGATATCCGATTAAATTTAATAGAATACTTTCGATCATAATGACATTTCGTTGGATACAAATCGGATACTAAAATTCATCGGTATTTTTATCGAATGTACCCGTTTGTTAACTTTTTATCGAATAATTTCTCTCAGTGTATATATAAAGAAATTGTGATGTATGCAGGGCGTCGCGGATCTGCATGTCTAAAGGGGGTGTATTCAGCACGTCAATCGTTCACTCGTCGGATCTCATCCAAAATGTTCGTGGACCAATGTAGCGTCGTGTTGCTGCATGTTTCAAAGAGCAGACATTTAAGTAATTTTTATAAAACGAACACGTTGAAGTAAATGTTCCAAAACGTAATTCTTTTGACATAAGTAACATGCCCCATATAGCCCCGATTTCCCCGAATAGAAAAGTTTATTCGTTAAGAAAAAAAAAAAGGTTTCTACCTGCGTGTCAGTTATCTTGAGAAATCAAAATTACAACTATTTCTTAGAAATTTATATACATCGTACCTAAACGCGATTACGCGCAGCCTCGCCTACAATCCTCGTTTCGAGAACGTTGTGCCGCGCGGCAATGGCAAACAATGCTCACTGCGGATTTGAGCGCGACGCGATTGACATCGGCGAACGACAAAGCGGACGGTGCCGCGACTTTTGACCCAGCGCGGGACGGTAGAGCCTTTATAATACCGTGAATAAATCGCGGACGAGGTCCCGGCGCGTATAGCGCAAAGAGTCGCGTTTCATTAGTCGGTGCCTTGTTCGGGGATTCGAGACTTCGCGACTCGTCATCGCGCGCTCGTCGCCGGTAATTGAATGCCTCTTTCATCGAGAGCTCGAATCGCCGTGTCACCGACGGACATCGATCCCGTCGCCGTGTCATGCGTGTCGACACCGCGTTTTCAGGATCGTGTTAACGATTATCCCGCCTAGGCCGATCCGCCGGCGCGAGCTGACTGGCAGTCTTCTTCCCTCGTGTGCGTTGATCGGCCGCCGGGATCGAGCGTTGAATTCATTGAGCCGACCGATTAACAGCCGCTAATTTCGCATAAAATGTATAGCAACGCCGCGCGAAGTGGGTTTCTGGGCGTAAATAATCGGGATTTCTTCGCGCGTATAAAAGAAGGCCGGGTCCCGGCGTAAAAATACAAGCGTTTTAACGAGCCACTTACGGTACTTGGCGAGCAGCAAGACAGACTCGCGTGTCTAATCACGTTTCTCGGCTGATGGAGCGAATGAAATCTGCTACCCAAATGCATTATTAGATGTAGAATGTCGAATGGAGGTGCGGGTGAAAATTGACGGGCCTCGGCTCGCGTTCACTTAACGTTGAATTGGGCCGTGCACGAAAGGAGAGTGCTAGGAAATAAGTACTGTAACAAATTCAAAGCAAAAGCAAGCGAACAAAAGTAATACTTACTGACACTTCTATTGCTCTATTGGACAGTCGATTCACGTAGTCACTTCATGGTAGAAATCATAACTAGTGTAATTTTAGTCAAAAGAAATGGATAATAATTATGTTCGTTCGTTAGTTCATAGCAATTGGAACAACATGCAAATTTTTTTCGCTACCCACGCGAAACTAAAAATTGTTTGCACTGAAATTACATTGATTTTAATATTTCAGCTACGCACTACTGTCATTACAAACAAAAAACCGGTCAATACCTATAATCCGTTATCGCTATATTTATCTCTTACGACGTAAATTTCTTTAAATGATAAATAAAAGAATAAATACAGAAAAAAAGCAACAAATGCGAATAATATTAAATATATTAAAATATAATATTATTGATAACGACTATTCTTTTTTATGCAGACATATGACTCATACATATGACTCATACATTTTGAGTTATATTCGAATTGCGCGATATCACATCTAATCTAATCTACATGCGGATGCAGTCGCGGCGCAACTGCGCTTATTAACATCCTGGCGCCATCTGTTGACTGACGTCTGTACCGGTGCATCTTTCAGGTCGGATCAACAACATAGATCTAGCAGGACGCGCTCTTCGTGAATGGGAATTGTCAAAAAAGAATAATTCAATCTCGCTGTGTACATTGTTTGCAACTGAAAAGATTCAAACAACCATACGCGATATATCTAAAATAATCAAGCATTAAAAATTTCTTTCTTCATTGCTTTAAACAAATAAATGCAAATTAAAAATTGACAAATATAGATTATTTGCAGGAAATAAAAGACAATCCTGATAAACAACATTTCCTTGAATAAAATTACTTGAAAAAATAATGTTTGCATCTCGAATATTTTCACAAAAATTGACAAATATAGATTATTTGCAGGAAACAAAAGACAATCCTGATAAACAACATTTCCTTGAATAAAATTACTTGAAAAAATAATGTTTGCATCTCGAATATTTTCACAAAAATTGACAAATATAGATTATTTGCAGGAAACAAAAGACAATCCTGATAAACAACATTTCCTTGAATAAAATTACTTGAAAAAATAATGTTTGCATCTCGAATATTTTCACATAACTGAAACGATTTAATTGTTTAAGAGACTACGAAAAAAGATGTACAACTGTTCTAAGTCAGACAAAAAGACGAATTTTCGTACATACCAAAAGTATGGATGCCTTAAACAAAAAAATTTTGAAAACGTTACGTTGCTGTACTTTTATATTTGAATTCAGAAGCTTAAGAATCTTGGAAAAATTTGCAAGAAAATTTCTACACATGTGTGGTTAAGTTTTCCGCTGATTATGGTAAAAAACGAAGCAACACACATTTACGTAAATTCTATTATATATATATATATATATATATATATATATATATATATATATATATATATACACGAGATATACGAGACATACGAGGAGGTTAGCGTGTTAATAATAATCATCTCTGCGTTATCGACATTTTTCGAGTTCATTATCGACTCCAAGCATCCCCCTTAATACGGGCGCGTGTATATTACAAAAAAAGTAGTACATTATAAAAAGAAATAATTTACTGAGCGAATTGTGAGCAAAAAAGATTGAAAATTGACTCACTAATCACTTCAATCTGTGAGACACCTGATTCTCTATAAATGACACGGTTCATCGCGTCACAATTTTTCAATGTCACGCGACGATAATCTTGAATGAACATCGCAATCACCATCGAAACGACGCGAATATCCCGTAACCGCGGGAACACGATTCTTCACTTCTACCCAACGTAAGATAATCGACGGCAAGGACGTCCTAACGTCCAGCCGAGGTCTACCTCGCTGTCCCCGAGACCGCAAATTATCGAAGGAAAGCACACGAGCGATTCATCGTGTAGTTGGTCGTCGGGAGTAAACGAGCGATTTAAAGAGAGTACGTACATACACAAGCCCAGACGCTATGATTCAATTATGTGTGTGCGCGCGCGCGCACATTTACGGTAACCGGTGCATCGCGATCACGTGTAAATCAAGATAAATCGCTCCTTGTACACCGGTCGCCCCGGATTCGACGTTGTTACGCTGCCGGATGGCAATCAAATTGTCGGACTCTCAACGGCGCGCGAATTCCGTTTCTCGAATAAACTCACGTCGCTACTCCTACACGACGTTCCGAAAAAAATCAGGACAACCCTCGGTCAAAAAACTCCCAAAACGCGAAGAGAAACTTGCGGTAAGGAGAAATTAGAGGTACACGGAAAAAAAGGTTTGGTTGAATTAACCAAATATCTGGTCGAATATGAACGATCCAGAAATTCCGATTGAAGTAACCCGAATTCTGTTTAAGTCAACCAAAAATCTTGTTAACTTAAACAGAATTCTGTTTAAGTTAACAAGATTTTTGGTTGACTTAAACAGAATTCGGGTTACTTCAATCGGAATTTCTGGATCGTTCATATTCGACCAGATATTTGGTTAATTCAACCAAATCTTTTTTTCCGTGGCAGAAACGCGTATCGGGGACCAGGGAGAAGGTAATTGCAAACTCAAGTACTGTTTCCATAAATACTTTGAAACTACTTTTTACTTGAAAACTAAGAAGAGAAAATAGGAGAAAGTGTACAGCTGTTACACGTCTCGTCTACACAAAGATTACACGCGGCAAGATAATTTGCATAGTATAGGCGAGGATGTGAACTAATATTATTTACATGTAGATCAGCGCCATTTTGTGCACAAAATCCAAGTAAAATCCATTATGAAAAACCGCCACTATATCTTACGGATTGTATGTTTTATTGATCTTTGTAAAACAGCGTACGTGTTTACTCAGACATTTCATGCGTCATGATTTACACTGAGAAAAAGTATTTAGCACTTGTGACTATAATTACATAGTAAAAGAATTATAACCAGAAGAAACATTTTTGTAGCAAGTGTTATTGCATTGA